TAATTCCAAAAAGAGCGCTTCCAAAATCCAGATTTCAATTTTTACTTCATTTTCTCGATCGACACCCGCGAGTAAACAAACGAGTTGCTGGACAACGCACCTAAACCGAAAACATGCAGTGCAGCAACGGTGCTCGCAGAACATGAATGTACCAAGGCATCCTACCACGAATCGGCTACAAATTATTGAAGTAGACACTACATTTTCAAAATAGTTAGATTACATGGCACCATTTCCAGTTTAACAACGGTCAAGTAATTTTACACATATTTCACTGAAGAAGTAGTTCCTAGGAAACGCAGCACCTGCGTACACATCAACAACGGTAAGAAAAGGCAACATTTTTTTAAACACCTAAAATATTCCAATATTATATTTCGAATGACCCAACACCTATTTCTCAAAACATTACCATTAACTTTTTACCCATTATCACAACGAATAAATATGGTTGGGAATTTATATCTTGCTTGCATTTTTATTGTTTTACAATATAATCACCTGCGCTCTACAATTCAGTAAATAAAGTCCACAAATATTTTTTAACACCAGAGAGGGTAATCCGTGATTGGTAACTTCCGGAGACGCTTTATACTACAGAAATGCTATCTGAGTTGCCTTTAAACAACGCGGCTTATAGTTGAGTGGACTACCACTTGTGTCGTGGAAAAAAGCTGACGAGCTAAATAAATTAGTTTTGGTTTTAGTAGAAACTGTCTTTGTTCCATCAGGTACAAATTGCATATTTTTATAAAATATTGTAAAATAAGCCGGAACAGTTCTAAGTTTAGCGAGGCGAAGGAGAAATGCTTTTGTCAAGTGTCAAAGTCGAAACGATGGAAGGCGAGAACATGGAGGTCTTCTTGAATTGTTCGGTCTATTTAACCAGTCTGCTAAGCACACAAAAACCGCACATTCAGTCCAAATAGACAACTACTAGTTCTACACAAGTTCTTGTTCTTGAGCCATATTTTGCTTTATAATAATTTGGAAGGAAACGTCAAGGAAACTCTACTAAACACAAATGAAATTTCGAGTTTCTTTTCTGTTCAGTCCTAGACTGGCTACACCGGTTTTTCTCTCGAAAATTAGAAAGAGAGAGAGGACGAGGTTTTTAAGATAAGAATAGACTGTAACGAGGTGAAGGCGACACAAGGGAAACCGCTTGTCGTCCGTACCACCCTCGCTTATTGCGTTTATTTACGTCCGGGGGGAAATTAAAAGCGAACTTTAAGAGAAAATACGGACAGCAAGCCAATCTCATACCCAGGGCTCGCACCCTCTTTGACCAACGGTCGAGAAACACCAAAGAACAATCGGAAAACGCGTTTCGATTTCCCGACCGCTTTTCGTTGACTTCGAGATCCGCCGAAATGCAGAGAGGTACTTGCGTTTACTCGTTCATGAAAGAACGGCTTTCAATTAAGTGTCGTAAAATAAAAACGAAAATGACCAGTCTAGACAATCATGAACACAAGGGTTGTGACACAGATAATCCACTGAGCCAATCAAAACTCGAAGCAAAGCAGAGCGCAGGAAAACGCGCGAGAGCAAGACTTTAGATTCTGGCTTCTAATTGGATGAGCTTCTTAAGCCAATCCCTAAGTGAAGTAAAGGAAAACTAAAACAAATGGGACATTCAAGTGATACTGCTCTATCATCAAGGAAACAATCCTCAACGTCACGATAATAGAATAGGTTTTTAATTCTGTAAAAGTTCTTTAATCACGACTGTTTTGTTTAGGCGTGCAGCAAATTTCGTTAAAAGTCAGTGTCAAATTGCCTTTGCTTTGATCAGTAAAGAACATTTTCGTTGGGACGCACTGAAATGCTGATAACTGTTATGTGCGATAAATTGTTTTTCCTTAAAGATGCGTGGTTTTATCAAGCGAGCGACCTCCTAAGCGTCAACGTTAAACGCTTTCAATTAAGCTATACGTATTAATTTACAGAAAAGATTTTATCACGAGAAAGCCAGCATTGCGATTAAAAACATACTCATGAATAAGAAACATACACTGCAATTATAGTGGCTTTGTCTTTTTTTTAACCAGCCAACGCAGTCTCTAATTTTCATGTCCCGAAGATAAATTCATGTTACTGAATTTTACAGACAAGACCACCCGGCTGTCAAATGCTCCAATTTCGAGTTGTCCTAAGCCATAATTGTGGTTAATACACTTCTTAACATATCACTTATCAATCAACGGAAAGTGAAACAAAATACCAATTAACTAAAAGCCTCATTGAATGTTGTGTTTTGTAGACTACTACATTTTACAATGCAGTAATTGACTTACTAAAGGAGTATCGATAGGTATAACTGGTTTTGCATTACTACGCTACACGATTGGCTTAAAAAAATCTCGCGTCAGGTTTTCATCCAATCAGAAGTAAAACCAAACCACTATCCGCGCCACTCACTCGCATACGTTTTCCCGCGCTTTGCGTCAGCTACAGGCATTTACTTGGAGCTTTGATTGGTTCACTGGATTGTCTCAGCGCTTTCTGATTGGCTTATTTGCAAACCTCTCGATCACGACGATTTTGTTGTGTCTATGGTCAAAACAGTGCTTAAATTATGACCAGGCACCTTTGCTCGTGCAATAGACTTTCAGAAAAGTCCTTCGTCTTCAGTGTTTATTCAGGACCCGCCGGACGAAGCGACTTCGCCACTCGTTCGGCTGCTTCGCGGTCTAAAACCTCGCAGCTTGCTTCACTCGCCAAGCTCAGTTCTACCCTGAAACTTATGATGTCGACTTGTGGCAAGTCTACTCGTACACGAAATGCTATAAGAATACCACGACGAAGGTATCGTATAGCGCTTACGCAACCCATTATAGCACCCATTCCTCGGCTTCAGTTACCCTGCGAGACAGAGATTCCCTCACAAAGAGAGCTCACAGGGTAGGCCTCATTGAGTGTTATTAAAACAAGATCATTATATATATATATATATATATATATATATATATATATTTTTGGTGTCCATCAAGGAACATACGTCTTTGGGGTTTTAATTTGGCATTCCAAAAAAAGATAGTCACCCTTTGAAGTAAGAGTAAACAGTGCTCATTTATTTGTTCTTCCGGTTACTTCCTAATTTGTTTGCAGGCAATTAAAATTGAACGTGGTAGTTGACTTTAAATAAGTTGTATCTGTCGATCCGTTGTGGGAGTATTAAATGGGAGTATGGCAAAATTGCATATCATTCATATCAATGTATATATCAAGAAGGAAATTCTAAATATATTCTCAAGCCAAGGCCTATCGAAAATAACAAACGTAGAGTGAATTCCCATTAAATCGAGTTTTTTTGATCAACTATTAAAATTTTATAGAAAATGAAACAGTGAAAGCTCAGTACAGTGGAACCCCTGTAATACGGACAGCTATGGACCAGAGTGGAGTGGCTGTCCGCAATATAGAGGTGCTCTTATTACGGACCTTTATAGACTGGAGTACGAATACGAGATTGATTCGTACTCAAATCTAAAGTCCCCTATTAAGGAAAGGTTTGACTGGTACTTTGATATAAAAAGAACATTTCGTGAGGTTCTTGTGTACTTAACTTGTAACTTGAGTCCTTTATGTACTGCCCTTTTTACCGTCAATTAATTGGCTGACCCTATTACGCAACAACAATAGTCCTATGCTACTGCTATTCTATCTGTTCCTTCTTGCACTTAATTTACTCTGTTCTTAAATCAAGTAATATCGTAGGAAACCCACGGGTGACCGTCTTCGAGCCTTTTCAAACAACCCGCCCCGTTTCCCGCCCGTTGCCGAACATTTCAACACAGATCACCAAATGCACGACATGGAAGTCTGTTGTTAATTAAAAGCAATGCAGAGGACCAACAACGCCACAGGCCTGGACGAAATGAATCTTATTTTCCACGTTATCAATCTAAGGCCACACGGGCTGAAGGTGGATTTCATTTTTTAAACAACTTAAAGCGCGCGCACTCTTACCAATCCGTAATAGTTGCGTGTGCTACTGTTTATTTTTCCGCATCCTCATCAAAATGTAGCACGAAGAAGGACCAAGTCCAAATGTGACTCTTTGGCCCAATTAATTTACAATGTATGACTTTTGACTCCTGTGTACTTAACTTAGTAACTTAAGTTCTTTTTGTATTGTATTACCCTCTATTCTTCAGTTAATTTGTTGACCCTACAACCGGCAACAAAAATTATTCTTTTACAACTGTTATTCTACCTGTTTCCTCGTCCACTTTATTTTATTAAACTTAGCTACGTTGCTCTTCTTAATGGATTGTTGAACTTCATGCAGCTGTATACATCAATGAAATACATAAATAAGGCACAGTGAACAGAGAACTCACCTTATACAGATGAGGCGAAGATGAAGGCCATACTCTTTGTAGCTATGCTACTCTTTGGTTGTTCTATTGCCAAAGGAAACCAAGCAAAGCGAGCTCTAACATGTTCCGGTAAGAAGACACGCGCAACCCAACATAATGGTTGTTTGACTTTTTTCCTCTAAAATTTTACATGTGCCCTTTTTTTTTCGTTAGGTTTTCCGAAGCAGCTCTCGGGTAGGCTGTATACGGTAAGTTTAATGTTGCATCATTATCGTAAACATTCCGCTCGCATCTAGCTTTGTAGAGTTTGCAAAACAGGTCAAAACAAGGTTCGATGAACGTACCGCTGGAAGCTGTGAAATTAAACCTATTGTAGTAACAGGCAAATCGAGGCGTTTTTTCGTTTTTGTTGTTTATAGTCATCATAAGCTCCCTAAGTTCTTAGAAGAGTATTCAACCATAATTTTTTCATGGATATTGCCTCAGTCGTAATCTCTTTCTGGCTACGGCCCTAGCTTTGTCAGTACTTCCGCAAAATGTTGAGATGGGGACTCTAATATGTGCAATGCTTTACAGGTCGAGGTGGACGAGTCAGGGTTTTCAGAAACATTTGACATGACATTCAACTTAGACTTGAACCTTCAACGTATGCAGGAAGAGGAAGGTGATGAAATTTTGATAATGGACTTTAAAGAGGTAACCGTGGCTTATAATTGTTAACGAGAACAGTTGATAACTGGGATTACTTAAAATTCTTTCAATTCGTTCTGGCTTCTTATGAAGCACTTTCGATCAGTTACAGGCGCGGATCTAGGATAAATGGTGACTGATTTCCGAAATAACGAGTGTCTCCTAGAGGGGTCCAGGGCCGTGCTCCCTTAAGAAATGTTCTGGAATTTTTTATTCCTAAAGTCCCCTTTTGGGGGTTCTTGAGCAATTCTGAACTATCTGACCGATTTTCGTAAAACGGTGGAAACCGGTATGGATCCGCGCCTGAGTTATGCTCCAGTGTGTTTAGTAGTCTGCGTAGCAGGCGTTTCCAAAAAAGCACGCCAAGGAAACCAAACTGCGAGCGAGTGCGAAAGAAAATGGAGCATAAGCGCACTCCTTTACCCGCCCGCTTGCCTTGCTCGCTCGCTTGTTCTATCTCTCCGCCTGGAAAAGGAAAGAAAACGGCTACTACGCAGGCTATATGTTCAGTTTCAAAACGAAGGATGACGTATAAACAGCTTCAAACAGTTTAAAAAGTCTGCACCTCGTGCCAAATTAAACCTGAAATGCTCCCTTACTTTTAGCTTTCTACACGTTTAAGTTTCTTCAAAATCTCCAGGCGTAATTTATTTGTTAATAATATTTCACGGGAGCAGTTTCCTTCTTTGGCAATGACAACCTTGAGTTTGTGTAAAATCCTGCAGCACCTTCCTTATCTTTCCACGGATACCTGATTTTAGAGAATCAACAAATTAACAAAGTTAACATTTGTTGGTATATTTTGTAGGCTATAACGAGTGCTCGCGTGAGCTGCTATCGCTGTCGTAGTTTAGTTATATTAAAATTAAATTATGGCTGACAACGGTTTCAAGCTCTTTCCATCATTAACAGTTTGATCAATATTACATTGACACAGCATTGAAATATACATTTTTGCAATTTGCAAGCAATTGGTTTCATTGATATATAGTTAGTTAGCTTTTGATGAAAATCAGGGTTGTGACCGCCTTAAATTTTCAATTATTGATTAATATCAACTATTAATGAACTATTTCTCAACAGGGCAAGCTCTACGAGCACAGCCCAGAGGGATGTTACAGTGAGCCACTGGAGGAAAAAACTTGGCCTGAATTTTTGCAAGATTTACCGTTTACACATATCACCACAGGTTTACTTGGATATAAGGGAGCCTCAGTTGATTGTTACTCATTCCAAGATGATGAAGGCAAGGATAATATTTTGGTCCTAGGTGATAATCATGTCCATTGAGGTGACACTGTCGAGATTTAAGTGTAAGTCACAGGTTTATAACATTGCAAATCCAGATTTCTTCTGTTTTAGTGCTACTGGTTCATTTTTCGGAGAACAAGCGGATGAGTCAATTTATCATTTGAGCGGCAAGGGCGCAGCTGATCAATGAAATGAAACATTAGATATAATTTATCATTTTTATGTTCAATCCATTTGGTAGGTGTTGGTGTCGTAACACTCGAGTCTGGAGACCAATGCATTCCCGTATTCTTCGCTGAGAAGAGAAATGATTCCGCTCTTGCGGGAAGGTAAAATACGCTTAAACCGTTCTCCAAAAACCACTGAGTATGACAATGTGTAAACAATTCTGTCATCTAAACAAACGATTGCAAGGTACAGCCTGATATTTAACTATAATGCTTACTGTCAGTAAACAGGCCTTGAAACATTTTGATATTTGTTATTATAGCTATGTAACCTTGATTTTCATCAGACATTGACAAATTTCATAGGGGAGTTTCTCGGCCGCCAGGAAGATACGACGCAAATATCCTTTCTAAAAAAAAGGCATAAATGATCATGGTAGTTAACGTTATGTTCACAACTTAAGCCAGCTGTGAAATTAACTAAAACCTTATATTTCTTCAGGCCTTAATTTCACAGCTGCTTAAGTTGTGTACAGAACATGTCTTCAAATCTTTCTCCACCGTTCAAATATATGATCTTTCATATATTCATTTGAAAAAAAAAACTTTGTCAAGAAATGGGTGAAAAAGGGAAACTTTTAGAAACCTAAGATGGACAGGGGGGAGTAGCTTGCGAACAGTGCCTCCGGTTGCCGTACCCGACCGCTTTTAGAGTGCATGCTTAGGGAGGGAGGGGTGGCGGGAAGCTGCGTGGGGTAAGTAGGGAGATATATCTTTCGCCTGGAGTAGGGGGCAAAACCACACCAGGTGGGTTTTAGCAAAGACGTGATTTATAGCGTGAGAAAGTTTGACACTAAAAAATCGTGGCGTTTTATGTTGGAAAGACTCCTTGTGTTTGCAGAGGACACGCTAACAATTCTTTTCCTTGCTCCCAGTTTTCTTGATTTAAAAACCACCGTCCAACCTGAGAAACTCAAGATACCAGACGAGTGCAAGCAAGCAGCGATCTCTCAACGCTCCATTCCAGCCATGATTCAAAAACTCAGGATGAAGACCGCAATGAAGAGGATGTTCCCCTTAATGTTTGAGGCTCTGCATGCCCGACGAAAACGGCGATTTCCCTGGGTTGTTCCGAAGCTGCACAAAATTCGAAATAGAAAATAACTGTATAAATTGTGCGCATATGGGCAAAAATGAGTTGTAACACATTCAAAAAGAAGTGCAAGTCCAGAATAAATGATATGTGACACGAGAACTGATGCAGTTTGTCCTAAATTCTAAATGTTTAAAGGTACCGAGCGTAATCAGGGGG